CAGGATTTAGTTAAATAAGATAAATTGCTCAGGGGTGCAGCAGTGTCATGATACCCAGAAGCCAAACACCAGCCCAAAACTGTGAGAGCCTGTGTCTGAACTTACCCTGAAACTTTACAGAGTGCCATAGGGCACACTGAAACAGCCCCTGCCTTATCCATAAGCATTCCCAGTACAGATTTCAATAGCCTTAATGACACACATTGGATATGTGATCCTTCACTTTGTACTGCATGGAGCAGCAGTATCTTAATATCAGTTTTTCATCTTTGATGGCATGATTTACATAAAGAAAATAAACCAATGGTATTTAATTTAGGCAATCTTAGCTACGCTTCATGTCTTTCTCACCTGTGGTTTCATTGTTTTTTTCTGGAGAAACTGTATACAAAGCAGATAGTGCCATCGATAATGGTGCAAACGTTGCTCGGCATTTCCCAATATTAAATTACAGTTTGAATTGCATCTACTTTGTCAAATTTGGGGGCAAATTTTATTTTGCTGAAAATTTCTATCCCATTCCCATGGAGAAATATTTTTGAAAATTTTAATGAGAATGAGCTCAGACATTTTAAAGACTGAGATTAATGAGTTGGGGGTAGGGGCAGGATTTTGATCAAGGCAGAAAGGTTGAGTTTGTTCCAGGAAGGCACCTTATATTCATCCCATGGGAAAACTGGACAGATTTTACAGTCTGAAAAATACTGCTGGCACTTAGCAGCAAGGACCTGCTCTAGCAGCTAAATTCCCTTAAAATTTTGCCTGTTTTGAGTAAATTCATGTTTCTCCCTCTAAGGTTTGACCTTCCTTGTAGTTGGTACCACCAGCTGCTACATGCATAGCTGCAGGTGGATTATAATTTATACATATGCCAACTCTACCGGCTCTTATCTTTGGGTTGTTCATCACCGCTGCCTAAGTACTCTCCCAAGTTGGTTTGTTCCTGAAATGCTAGACACGGGCTAGCCAATAAGCCTGCGCAAGACAGAGAAGAAATTTCCCACTTTGTTGCTTTTTCAGAAGCGAGTATAGACTCTAAAGTGTGCTGTCACTTAACGCTGCCCCAGATCATTAAGTCTGCAGAGCGCAGTGTAAGTGCTGTGGATTTGTACGGGCCTAAATCAGAGTATGGTTAGATACATAAACAGGTTTAAATTAGGAAACATCCTTTGTCATTAAAGGAAAGGGATTGCAACACATCTCTGAAGAAGTGCTTCAGCAGCAATGCAAGAAGTCTTCCTCCACTGCACTTGGGGTTTGTTTGCTTCCTAGCCTGAACAGCCCCTTCTGTACCAACTTTCTAACACTTCCTAACTTATTATATTAACTATTCAGAGTAAATAAGCTTGCTTCCCTGTGTTTCTTTGTTTATTTATTCCAGATCCATTAAACAACAAAATCAGATCTTCTGCAACTCAGTATGGCTTAGCTGTAGTAGAGCTACAAACGTTAACATCCTCTAAAGACCATCACATACATATTCTGCAATTCATGTTTGCTGGCATTAGGAGCAGGAAAAGCTCTGTACTCGAGACCAGGTAGAAGGGACTGCCAATTAAAGGTATTCAGCACAGGAAATAAAAAGAATAAAATCCACTGCACGGTCTTCAAATTCAGTAAGAAGCCAGCTGTCACTTACCAATTATTTCATCTTTCTTCCAGATTGCCATAGCCGCTAAATCTTTCCTATCTCTTTGGTTTTTTTTTTAAAAGGAAAAATCTGCCCATGAATATTTATTGCAGCTGTCCCAAGCTGGACCAGGTAAGCCTGATGCTGAAAAGTGGATTTGTTTACACTAACAACAAATAAATAAATTTGCTACTAAATACTGTGAATGAGCTGGCAGCAGCACTCCTTGATGAGTTTTGCAATTGTTCCTCAGCCCCAACATTGTGGAAAACACATGAGCAAAGAGAAACAAAACACTATGGAGGATCAGCACTGTTTGTTCGGCACTGGACCATGGAGAAGCAGCTCGTGCCTGTAGGAAAGGTCTCAGCGACTGCTAAAATGCCACCAAGCAATGCCTTGGTGTTCACCCATGTGCCCGTGATGGAGCCTGTGGAAAGAAACTCATTTGTGGTAGTGCTTTTAACTTCTGACTGAGCTGTAGCTGGTGCAGGATGGCAGGTGGGGATCCAGAGAGTCTCGTGCGCTGGGTTTTTAAGCAGGATTTTGCCGGGGCTGAGCAGCACTTTGCCAGCACCATCCACCACCTCCAGCACTGGCAGGGAGGCGTTCCCGTCCCCCCAAACTGGCAGACAGTGACTGCAAAGGAAGATTTATTCCAGTCCCTCCGAGACCCAAACACGACTTAGCTCAATCCCCTGATCTAAGTAAATGCATCTTTTGGGACACAATTTGGGTGCTGCCACTTCCAGAACTGATGTTCCTCCTGACAAGTCATGATGATTTGTGTCTGTTTTTCACAGTTACCTTATTGTTGGCAAATGCTAAAAACACATGATATTTCATCAGCTTGCCATGTCTCCCCTTTACTGTGCATGACAAAAAGGTCTGAAATGTCATGTATTTCACTACCAGCACACAATCACAAAAGAAGTAAGAAAAACCTATTCTAACCAGAAGCTGAAATGGTAGTACCATCTTTAGGCAATGCATGATATTTTAGCTTTCTGTCATACACTGGGAAATGTAAACACCTACAAAATGTCATGCATTTGCAGTTGTAAGTGAACTCGTGTAAACATTTAGTTGAAAGATGCATGAGATTCCATCCTTTTGCCATATTCGCAAAGCTGCATAATCAATTTGGGGGCAAACTGACTATTTCATGGTTTGCTTCATATTTAGGAGACAAGACTATCAATTAAGCAGATCTGCAGACACTCCTACACTCAGACTAGCTTTTCTCTCGCCGCTCCTCGATGAAGCACTGTAACGTGTCAGACTTTTCTTAGAGATGCAGAAATTTTGCTGATGTTTGGGAAACCCCCAGTGGAAAGCTGTAGCTGCAGTTCTAGCTCCAGCAGTCACTTCCTACGGGACTGGTTTTAAAAGCCCTGAACTGCAGAAGCTTGGCTTCCCATGCCTTTCATCCTTGCTTACCGACACCTCAGCCATCTGCTCTCTGCAGCAACAGGGACCAAGCCCAAAATGCTAACCTAGGTCTGAACAAGCTCAGACTGCTGCTGCTGCAACCTAAAACTATTCCTGCATGTCCCTTCCTTATTTTTTTCACCAAAAAAAAAAAAAAAGAGTGGTGCGTGCAGAAGGAAAGAGCAGGCATTCACCAGAGTGCCAGCAAAGATGACTTGTACAACCAGTAGCTTGTTTAAGGTCACAGCTGATTAAGAAATCTATTATGGGGATCTCCTGACTTCTTCTCTAAAGGACATACAGCTTTTTTTTTTTTTTTTTGGAAGGTAATATTTGGATTCTTTCTGCAGCCACATGCAGAAGAGCACTTTCACAATTAAACGACTCTTAATGTAAATGTTGACCACAAGAAAATTCCCTGGAAAGCAGATGCTGCTTTGATGGCTTTGCCAAATACTACAAGGCAGGTTTGGGTGCTAGAAACTCTTCCCCCAGCAGAGCTGCTGCTGCTGCTCCCAGCTCTGCCACTGACCTGCTACGGGACCATGTCATCTTTTACCTCCTTGCCTCGGTTTCCTTCTCTGTTAAATCAAGAGAAATGGTATTCAGCTTTATAACTTCATTGAGATGTCTGGATGGAAATCAGAGGCAAAGCATTTTGTATAGATGTATCATATACAATCAGCAAGTTCTCCCTGGTGTTTCTAGAGATGCTGGGATAATAAAACTCCTTTGTCTAGCTCTGATTTCTGAATTTCAAATATGGCAAACAGGGCTGAAATTTCATGTATTTTCTTTACCATTCCCATATCATTTTCTTTACAGACTCTCATGTTTGAGTTGCTTCACTGGGAAGAGAAGCTCTTTTGAGGGTAAAATTTAAAATAGCTGCAGGTACCTCTTGTCCATGCTGTAGAAATGGAGAAAATGTGAAGTTACCGTGTGACATTAGCACAGGATTAATAATTTCTGAAACACATTTTCAAGAAAACCAAAACAATAAGAACACCGAAAAACAGAAACACACAACCTCTCCTAGCTCCGTGGAGAAGGGATTTCTGCTCTCTCTCAGTGCAATTGTCTGGCTAAGGGCAAATTAGTACATGCAGAGCTAGGACTTTGTTAAAAGTGACCTTGCTTTCATGGGAACTGAGTACCTGCTGGCCCTGATGCTCACTTTATTTTTTTTTTTTTTTAAAAAAAAGCTATTGAGAAAGTCAAAAGCCTCATAGTAGGTTCTTAAATGATAAAATATGGTTTCCACGAAGTTCAACATAGTGATAAGAATTGAGAAGTTGCATCCAGAGGGTGTCACTGGCATCAGCTGGAGGAGAACAGACCAGTGCCACCACTACGGTGTGCAGCCACAATGGTGTGCAACCAAGCATATAGCAGATAGGATGGAAACAGCCTAAATTAGGAAACAGCTTAAATTCTTCCATTTCTGCTTGCCTCAGATTTCCCATGGCTGGGTGTGGGTGGGTACCCATCAACATTACTTCAAACCCACTGAGTTATTCTTCAGAAACATTCAAGGACAGTTATCTCTCTGTACCTGACTTAGCATGGAGACCTCAGTGGGATTTAGGCATGAGAACATGGCCCATCATGCCCACTCCAAAAAGTGATGAATATTCTCAGCTCCTAAATTGGGAGCTCCTAATTTAAGCTTTAAGAAAAGCAAGTATCCCCACACCTTGCAAGTGTGAGCCTTACATAATACGGATCTGAACATACATTACCAGAAAGGAATGCAGGTTTGCAAGGGATTTGGTAAGAAATATGCAACAGCAAAAATGCAGATTTCCCTGGAGATCTTGAAATACCTTTTAGATTTATTCCCTCTGCATCCATCAGCACATACTACGTTTCATCAAAATGCAATAAAAGTTACTGAAGAAAAGGCCTCAAAGATACAGATTTCTTTCCAGATACTCACTTGCTTGTGAGATGAGTCTTGGGAGTAATCCCAAGCTCTCCAAACAGAGTAACAAAGACGTTGGCATCAGTTCCTGCTCCCCGGACATCTCCTGTCACTGTCACCACCTCGTAAACTGTGGAAGGAGAAAAGAAAGATCAGGACAAGGGAAGAAATCCCTCACCCTATACATTATAGGTCCAAGTCATCCCCAAACCTGAGCTGAAATACAGACCCCAGAGATGGATCTCTGCACCCACCATCAAAACAAACCCAATTTTTGGACAGGGCACGATCACTGCTAAGGATCAACACAACTGGTGAAAATCATCACATCAAACTGAAACTGCTGGAGATGCTTCACGTGGGCAGAGAGGGATTGAGTTAGGACAGATTTTGCTGAAAATAAAACACTTTGTGAACACATCGCCTCCCCTACCATAATGCATGTGCATGTATTACATATAACAGATGAATATATATGAAGAGTTAGAGTAAAGCTGTTGAGCCATTTTTCATTTATGCACATGTCAACTCAATGCACGCTTTTCTGTTTGCTCTGATAATATATTTGAATGAAGCTGAGAATCACTACAGCCAGAAAGTTTGCATTTCAGTTGTTCTGGAGACTTTACTAAAGACAAAATGGTAAATCATGAGGAGAATAAGGTAGGAAAATGCTTAAATTAGAGTCTCAAAGCTCTATCAATTTATTTATCTTTCCAAGCAGTAGATTGAGTAGTGACTTTATTACCAGACATCGATATCTTCTTGGGAGATACACAAGTTAAAAAGAGTTTTTTAGTCAAATGGACAAAGGCCTCACAAGACCCAATGGCCAGAAGGTAAAGCTAGATAAATTCAAATTACAGTCACGCATTTCTTAAGCAGGATGATGAGTGAAGCTTGAACAAGAGTTAAGGCTTGAAAACAGGTTACCTTTCTGAAGGACATCTTGGTTGGCTCAGTAGAGAAAGAATTGGAAGAAATTATAAAGCTTTGCCTATGGCCAGATCAAGCATCCTGATGGACCTTTTTGGCTTTAGATCACATGATGGTCATTAGCTAATAACAATATTTCCAGCTCAGACCCATAAGCTGGAGGAAAGGCTAAACCTTTATCATTTCATCTTACACAGCCTGACTGCTCAGGGTGTGATTTCTCAGAACTAATGCTGGAAAAACATCCTTCTTCATGGTGCATCAGAACTGTTACATATTTTGTCAGTGCCCACCTTTATCTCAGTACATCACATATATATTCAAAAGAGGTAAAAACCATATTGGGACTCTGAGCATCAAATGTTTTTCCCCACTAACACTCTTCCCTCAAAGCATCACGGAGAAGAAATTAAATCAACATTTTAACTGAAAAGCATGGAGACCGAGTGTTAGAGCAAAACCCAGGCCACTCATGTAAAACTGATTAGAAACTACTTCTCATTTCCAGCAGCGTTATTGCACTGAGACAGAAAAAAAATACCATAATATTTTCCTAACCTCACCTTTCCATGAATGTAAATAGGACAGGAAAGGGACATTATTATAATAAATACAGGAAGTTATGATCTGTGCTCGGATAAATTTGAAGAATCCCTTGGCTTGGTGTATTTCATTTATGGGCTCAAAGGAAGAAGAGATTTCTTTGCAAAAAAGAACGTATGAAATCCACAGCTTGCGTATGAGTAATATGTATGAACGATGTTTTCATTTCACCTTCCTCCTGTTAGCATTCACACATGCCAACGGGAGATGCTTGGCATAGCACGGGGAGACAGACAACATCCTTGCATTAGCCATTAACAGGAGGAAGGCTCATAATCCACCCTGCCCCAGTGATTCACCACTGATCGCTTCATGGTTTTCAGCGCTGTATTGACTCTGCTTCGGAGACAGAGAGCTTACGTCATTAAGTTATAATATTGCTGCACTCGTTTATAGCAGCTTTATAAGTCTGGCCATCTCAAAGCATATTGCAACTTAACTGTACCACGGAAGTACTTATCACTGTCAGAGCACCCTGCAGGCATTGCCAAAGTGGCAATTACAGCTGAGCATCCGTCTGCAAGCTTTCATTCGGGAAAAGGGCCTTTAACGCATTGTCCCCCCTCTCCCCACAGAGGCTCAGCAAAATTTGGTCCCGTTCCTGTTTTCAGGGGGTGAGGTCAAGTTGTGCCCAGCTTTGTGCTGGCAGACACATGGCTGAAGGCATTTTTCCTGTGAAAAGGAAGAAAAAAAGTCATCACAACACTCTGTAAGTTCCCAGAGACCTTTCAAAAGCTCAGGCAGGTTTTCTAGTGAGGTGTTTTTTTACTGCTAGAGAAGTGCTAGGACTTATATGCGGCAGGCAGAGCCTGTCATGTAACATCTGCCTGTGCTACATCAAGTGAAACCCATTCCTGAACCGGTCTGCTGCACCTCTGTGGGTATTGACGTCACCTCATCTATACATCTAACCTTAATTTCCTTACAGAAGATGTAAGTCAGACTGATCTCCTTCCACTTTTCAACTCCTAACAAATGAGATGACCAAATACAAGGAAATTAAATGTCTAAGACAACACTATCAACAAGCCACAATATTCCCCCCCACCCTTAACAATCAAACCCCTTCTCTAATTCCCACAATAGGAGTCTCACAGTTGCAAGAAAACACGAGCCATGAGTACGTACAAATTTGCGCTTTAGGTTCACAACCCCACATTCAGCCTCCGTGCACTGCAGCGAGCAGGCAGCGCATGGATGAACAGTTTTTACCAGGACAGATGTGCTGAGCCCTGCCTGAGTAGCCCATGTCATTACTGAGCAGACACTGTGGTTAGCGCCGTTTTAATTAACTTTGCATAGAGGGACAGAAGGAGGGGCTGGGTTGGTGACACCAGCATGTCCCTGCATTTGACACGTGCCATGGCGCACCCCTGGAAGGGGAAAGGAGCCCTGCCACTCCTTCTCCAGCACTGCAGCTGTGCAGCCAGCTGTGCAAGTAAACGATGTCGCAGCTTTCCAGTGATGTCATGGATGCAGGGACTACGATATCCTTTGCAGGAAGAAAATAAAAGTTTAACACTGATATTGATGCTAGCTCTTTCTGGAAAAGGTACCTGGAGACAAACACAGCTTATTCAGCCATTTCCTTTGAAGGCATGAAAGTTCAGCAGTCTGGATCCAGGATTGTTTCTTTTCTTTGCATTTCTTTTATTTTTCATCAGCCACTGACAGCTGATGGGTGTCATCTTTGCTGGGAGCATCTTTGCAGCTTGAGGACCCAGCAGGCAGAAGAGGATACAGTGCTGTGGGCGCAGCATTTTCTACCCCAGGCCCCTTCGCTGGGAACAGTGTCCATGATATAAGACAACAGGAACTGTAGGCTAGTGACATTTCTTAACTGCCCCAGGAGTTTGCTCCCCAATAATATTGGATGTTCTGGCTTTGAGAGAACATGTCCAACCTTAGCAAATCCCAAGCATAAACATCTTGTACTTTATGATTTGGGACAATAAAGCCAAATTAGCCAAAAAGCTCGAAATTGGATTTCTGTGGAAGTCACACTTCTAACCAAGGGTGGAATCTGGGCTAGAAAGACCAATTTTGCTACTTCAGTGCCCCAGCTGTGAAGGAGAAGATTAAGAAAATACAGAAGTATCTCAAGTATCATATCTGTTTCATCATGCAAGCTAGGTCTTCCTTTCCCACCAAGTTCCTCTCTTTCTTTTTGGATGTTCTCATGGAATTTCCCATCTTCTCATTTTGAGTCCCCATTTTTCAAACCCCTCTCCACCACTCAAGAGATCCCAATTACATACTGAGGATCCACCTCCATCACTGCTGTAAATATTCTTAGGATCATGGGCATTAATGCTCACCAAAGATTTGCCTCAATGGTGCAAAAATGCCAGCCCTTAAAACCCCTCCATTGGCAGAAAATACCTACTCAAATTCTCCAGAATCTCCCAACTCATTTTTAGCAGGGGCAGTGTGTAAGTAAGTTTGGCCACCTGTTTATTCGCTTTTCTTATCTTTCACCTGCATCAGTTACACAGGGAATATGTGCTTATTGCCAGGCAAAGTTTAAAAAAAAAAAAAATCCATCCAGTTAATATTGTCAAATAGAAGGGTAAAAAAACAAAACAAAACAAACCAACAACCAACCCACAATAAAACTGTAATATTTCTTTGCAAAGTAATGAAATACAGTTTGCTATTTTCCTATACTTTGACACTGATGCTCATAGTCAGTTCAAGTTTTCTTTCAGGCTGTTGCTCGGTCCAGCAGCTAAAGCCAAATTATAGCAAAGTTTTTCAAGATAGAATCAGGTTTTGGTATAGCACTCCAGATTTGGCTATATCCTACTATTTAGGCAACTTCTCAATAGAAAGAATCACTGAATGCAAATAAAGAGAGCATCCGCAGGGATTTTATGGTCACCCTTAAAGTTTCCAAGTGCATCCACAAAGTCTCCCTCTTCCCTCACTAATTTATGGGATGTCACTATGTAGCAGCTTTGCTTTTAGCTGTCTGACATCACTGAGAGTTACAGTGGGGAACCTTTAAGCTCCTCAAAGAGATCTGCTCCCATAATGGAGTTTAGGAGGGCTGGTTCAACCCGATTGACATCTCCTCCACAGAGTCAGCTGAGACCAGTCCTAAGCAAACACTGCAATGGTTTACCAGCTGCACACCTCAAGAGTTTCTAGTTTTCCCAGTCTTGGTCAGCAGGACTTGAAACATGAACTGTCTTCAGAGCTTTGCAATAACTTTTGGCTTCCATGATGTGAAAAACAACTCTTTGTATGTATGCCTGCTGGTCTTACACATTGAGAAGTACTTTGGCAGAGCTCTCTTAGCCTCTCCATGGATGGATGGCTTTGTACCCACCATACGCCTATTTCTTTCTTGGTCAAATATAAGGTGTAAACCACGACACTGCCATGTCCCCCTGTCAAATATCGGCATCGGTCTTCCACATCCCTTCAAACATGCACAGGATGGCCCAAATGTCCATGCCTCTTCACCCAAGCTGCTGCTTGGTTCAGGTCATTAAGCCAGTGGTCAGGTCATTAAGCCAGTGTTAAGATGCTCCTGCCCATCTGTGCTACTCCTTAAAGCTTTTGCTACCAGTGTTGGCTG